AGCTTGAAGGGCACGATTCATGGGAGCAGAGATCTCGGTGTGCTTATGGATTCTTCAACAAGGGTGGAAACAGGCCAATTATGATACATGAACTTGCATCGGTGCGATTCAATTTTTGAAGATATCGTAAAACTTATGTTCAAAGTATAACATAGGTCTTCAATATCACAAATGCCATATCAACATAGTTCATGTTCATATTTTTCCTCCCCAAACGCAACCTGTCAAAACTTCAATTTTACTCTTGTAAGTTATATGCAGCTAAATATGTAACCTGTAGACAAGATATAAACAAACCCCTTAGAAAACTCTGGTAGTTTGTTCGAGTTCTCGGGCTTGATTTAGTTTTGGGTTAGTTGCACATAGAATCCCTGCAGTATTATTGTTTTAGAGCTTACTACCCTTGCAGTTTCATTTTGGCTGAAAACTCCTTGGGTGAAATTTTTTTAACTCTTTTACCATCAGATAGGCTCACCAGTTTCACCCAGGGGCAACATCTATCAAATTTCAGACAAGGTAAAAGAGTTAAAAAAATTTAATCCTGGGGGTCTATCTGCCAAAATGAAACAACAAGGGTAGTAAGTTCAAAACAAGGATACTTGGTCATCTATGTACTAGTGCAAGTAACATTTTATTTGGGCTATAAAAATTGATGAATGTTTTCTTATGTTTCTCCCTGAGAAACTATGCTCCTAAATTTATCACCTGACGTCAATTTTGATTGTACCAGGAACTTGGGCTTAGTCCATCAGAGCCAATTCACACCGTATTCCAAGATTGGATTAACTATGCTGATGGCAAATTGAGCTTCGTGGGATTCATAAAGCTACTTCGAGGAGTTTCTTCTCATTCGATAACAAAAGTTTAGCCTGAAGTTCTTCCAATGACGAGATCTTTGTTTTACTTCAAGCCGAAGGTAAAACTAACGAAGGTAGCGTCAGAAGAAAATGAAGATGATCATCAAGCTACTGCAATACTGGAGTTCTTTTAGGAGTTTTTGGTTATTATTTTCAGACATTGTGGACTTGAGATATGTAGATAGCAGTATGTGCATGATAAAATCATTGTATCTACCATCTTTACAATGAGAATCTTATCTCGAATCGAATAAAAGGGATAGCTCTCACCCTAGTATCCATATTTAACATAGATTGTATAAAATTTCTGCCACAAATCCACTTATTTTCAATGCTTAGACTGTTGCTAAGCATTTTCCTGAAATCAATCAGTTCCATATATTTTCTCTGGAATATCCCTTGTCACCTATCACATAAGAACTGACAAAATTAAGGACAAAGTCTACTCTGGCAACTGCACCCTAATAAGGGTCTCTGGCAGTTTTCACAGTCAATAAAAGCACAATGACAAAATATCGGTCCTTAAATCACCATAAAAAGATAACATAAACTATTTTGTCATAAACATATGCATCCAAACCTATCTATATATAAAATGTCCAAATGTAAACATACACCTAAACCCACCCTCTATGCTTACCTAACATCTTCAACAATGAAAACCCTCCAAATTCCTACCTCTACCCCTTCAAAACTAACGCAAAGAAGTGCCCCTAATAGTCCCATAAGACACATACACAGCTCATTCCCTTACTATTTCTATAGCACTCCATCGACTCCCAACACACAAGGGTTATCCTCTTTCGTCGCATCTTGCGAATCGAGACTCAGGGAATTAGGCACCTCAGAATCCAATTCAGACATCGAAGGTCATGAATTCAAGTTCATCGGCCAATCCGTAAGCTTCAATTGCACGCCAATTTCTCTAGCCACTGCCGATGATCTTTTTCTCAATGGAAAGCTTATTCCAAGCGAGCCATTACTAACACCGTCGCCCCTAAAACTCCCACCAAGACTCCAGTACATCAAGAGCATAAGGAAGAGCCTTAGGATCACAAAGAGCTTCAACGATAAGAGATCACCGAGGAAAACATCCCCTGATTTTGATCCTTTCGCAATAGCAATGAAGACGGTCATAACGGAGAATGGACCATGGTGCCAAGTATCGAAAAATCATCGAAGGGCGAAATCTTATGAACATATGTTGTTAGATGTGGATCAGATGTGGGATAACGGCGATACGAAGATTTCGATGGTCAATAAGAGGAGTAAGATTTTGAATTACTTCAAAGGAGGGAAAAATGATGGGTGGAAAAAGGCTAGGAAAAGGATGAGGATATATGAGTATATTAAGAGGGTAGCAAAGGGAAAGGGTAAGAGTGAAAATATAGTTTCTAGTGAAAAAACGTTGATGATGAAGGAGCCTAACAGGATTAGAACCTTAGCAAATTATAAACAGAGCGAGAATCATCAGACTCTGTTGGCTTGCTTGGGTTGGGGGACTTGAGATTTTTTTTTGCATGTGAAAAAAGTCTGAAGTTGGCCATGCTAGTGAGCTGTTGGCATTGGTTGGTTGTCTTCTATTATTTGTGATGTGATCAGAAATTATGGAAGGGATAGTACTTTTTTTGCACTGTTCTCTTTACATGTAAATGTTTTTGAAGTAAAAATACATTGGATATTTCTCATATTAGACCCTACCTTGTGTCTTGTTTTTATATTAGGGCCGAAAATCTGAAATCATTGGACGGATAAATATTTTTGGTAATGTTGTTTTATGTACTTCTTTTGAAATAATAATATTTATAGTACTTATTTGACTAAATCCAAAATGCAATTTAAATCCTCTTTACTGCGTAGGCTAAGTCCTAATAAATTAGTTTAGGAATGTAAAATGCTACTCAAAGTATAGACGGGATTATATGAAAATTTTCCCTAATCTTAAAGTGATGAATTATCCTGTTTAATTAGAGTAAGATTCTATTAGAACACGCTATAAAAAGGAATGATCTAACCATTCACTATAGTTATAGGGTTAATTTAGAAACTATAACTCTTTTATTTATGTTATAAAAAGGAATGATCTAACCATTCACTATAGTTATAGGGTTAATTTAGAAACTATAACTCTTTTATTTATGGTGTAGATCACCCTACTCTTATAGAGATAGTTCTCATAAGCCCACTTGCCTCATTTTTAACTTTGATATCAAAAGTTTGAATTTGTCCAAAAAAATCCAAAACTATAATAAAAAATTAACTTTAATACCCCAAACTCTAACAAAAAATTAACATATAAGCTATATCAAAGTTAAATTTTGTTAAACTTCAAGGTATTATTTTGAACAAACTAAAACTTTGGGGTATCAAAGTTAGAAATGATGTAAACTTCAAGATATTTAAGTGCAAATAATCCATTATATACAGATTTATATACTGGGTTAAATTACACTTAAATGCTCTATAGTTTCACCAACCCTGCACTTTAACGCCCTCTATTTTAAAAATGTACACTTAAATGCCCCACAGTATTTACGTGTAGCAGATAAATGTCCAAAAGTTTCAAAATGTTCCATACTGATGCCTTCTTGTTTACCTCATGTTACACATTGGTGTCCTCTTATTTACTTACTGTTGCATATAAATGCCCTCAGTTTGTACATGGCTTCACTTAAATACCCTAGAGTTTCTGAAAGCTACACTTTAGTATTATGTCATGTGATACCCTTGAATATGTAGAGAAAAGTTAATGTCATATATTTTATTTTTAACTTTAGAGCATTTATCTGCAACACTAAAATACTTTAAAGCGTTTAAGTGCACGATTTTAAATTAGTAAATTAGTAGGTATTAAAGTGCAATATTGGGGAAACAATATGGCATCTAAGAGCATCTCCAACAGCTTCCCTATTTTATTGGTATTCTCACTTTTGGAGAATTTTGAGTTTTTTTTTGGTCCAACAGATTCCCCATCTCATTCCTCAAAATAGGGATGAAGAAGAAAAAAAAGGGGAGTCTTCCCCAAATCTGGGGCATTCTTCAAATATTTGAGGAGAGCTTTGTCATAAATGCAGCACGTTTTTCAAAACGGGTTGGAGGAAAAAATAAATATAAAATAAAAACCGTAATTACAAAAAAAGCCATAGGGGAAGTTCCAATGTATAAGAGCATCCCAAAATAAGGATGTGGAATATTATTATTATTATAATAAATGCATGATTCTTCAAAATGGGAAAACTGTTGGAGTTGGAGTAAAAATAATTTAGAGAATATGACTTTTGCTTCCCCATTTTGGAGAAATTTTTAGGGAAACTGTTGGAGATGCTCTAAGTGCCACTTAGCCTTCGTATATTGTTTGCGTTGACTAAAAACACTTGTCTTTAGGAAAAATTTCAAAATAGACCACATAAGAACTTTATTTATAAATATCTACCCATTTGCAATTTATTCATCATTTTCAATCTGGTTTAAGCCAACTAGTTAAAATTGGGTTGAAAATAGTGAATAAAACTTCATGAGATTCCAAATCCTTTGAAGTTTAGTGCCTAAGTACCTAACCTATATTTAGGCACTAAACTTCACGGAATTTAGAATCACGTAAACCTTTCGAGGTTTATTTATCATTTTGGACCCAATTTTAATTAAGTGACTGAAACTGAGTCAAAACTAATAATTAAATTTCTAAGGGATGGATTTTTACAAATGAGTCCATCTTAAAAATTTGTCTTTTTCTGTGTACCCTTCTCAGATTCACCGCGAAACAGAAAATGGAATCTTTTTCCCATTCTCTTGGCCCCACTCTCATTAATTACAGAGTAAAGCTCACTCCAAATCCAATCTCAGCTACAAGATCCGATCTCCTTCTTCCCTAGATTCAAAAAAAACCCCATCGATCTCCTCTCAATTTCAAGCTCCCAAATGCCGATCTTCAAAAACCCTAACCCTAGATCCAAACACGGCTCCACCCCCAAATCCCGGCCCCTGCTTTTATCGATCTCCACCATCTCCCTCGTCCTCCTCCTCGTCCTCTTCTCCTCCTCGTCGTCGTCGATCCCCGCCGCCAAGTTCTCCGGCGCCGGAGATGGAGCATACGAGGCGATGGAGGTGAAGGAGACGGATGAGGAGTTGTTGAAGTGGAAGGAGAAGAGGTACTTGTATTGGGGGAACAGGATCGATTGCCCAGGGAAGCATTGCGATTCTTGCGAGGGGTTAGGGCACCAGGAGTCGAGCTTGAGGTGCGCTCTCGAGGAGGCTTTGGTTCTTAAAAGGTAAGTTTTTTGTTCGGTTTTGATCTCCATCTTGATTTAGCCAGCACAGAGTTGTGAGCTTCGTAATCAAAATAAGTGTTTTTTATTGTATTATTGTCTTTTTCTTTCTTCATTAAAAAAAAGAGACATCTGAGAACTGTAAGGGATCTACGGGAACTCGCCCCTAAAAGCTAGCTGCCAAAGAAAAGACCAGTATCCCTCGTAAGATCACTGTGGGACTAACTAAATCGAGGTCAAACACTCTGGCTTCACCCCCTTTGACTTTGCACTAGACCAGCCCTGAGCGAATACTGCACTATAGGCATCACTCAGTTGTAAGGGACCTAGAAGTACTCACCCCTCAAGCGGCTAGTTTTTAGAAGGCGGGAACCCAAATCCCTTATAAATCCAAAACTGACTTCTCATTTTGTGACACATAATTACTAAATGAAACCCTAAAAGAACGCATATCTAGACACTAGCTATTAAAAGTAGAAAATCCAAATCTAGTATAAACCACAATTGACTCTTCATGTAGTCACCCTAATGTACCCCCATGATTCTGAAATTCCAGATCCCATGTGGGCTGACTTTGCACTAGTCCAAGGCGAATGCTGGAATGCTGACATCAACATCTGGGCCTCTAGCTTGCAATTCGCAAGATGTGATTGAGTTAGATACCATTTGTAAGAGCGCCGAGATGACTGACCTGTTTTAACCCAGTACAATGTAGTCGACATGAAAATGTTAAAGATGGATGAGCGCCGGCACACTAAAAGATAGGGTACAAATTCATGTACATCCTACGAAATTTAAAGGTGGCTTGTGTCTAGAATAAAATGAGAGGACGGTGTTAACTATTCCTTGTGAAGGTTAAGTAGTTATGGTCAATAATGAAGTTTGAAGTGTGCATGTAATTTGATGAATTTCCTAATGGAGAAGATTTTGTTGTAACGTAGGATCAGCTAAGATGAATTTTCAGAGTTATAAACATTTGATGCATGCATATTATTTCTCCTTATCCTTTAGAAAGCTTTCTTCATTGTCTAACCAAACCTCTGGCTTTGCAAGATATGGGCTTATGAATCCTTATTAATGCTACTTATAGCTGCAGTTTCATTTATTCAAATGATTAGATTGGTTTTGCAGCCCATGCTTAATTTCTTTGGAAATTTAGTACATGGTTCCTTAGTTTTCATTTTAATATTTAGATATGTAATGATGTTTGTTTCTGCCACTTGCAGAGTCTTCGTGATGCCATCAAGAATGTGTATCAACCCAATACACAATAAAAAGGGGATTCTTCACCACTTGAGCAATGCAAGTTCAGAAGAAAGGTTTGTTCTTATGTTCTGACGCATAATTTGCAAAAAAGCAAACTTTCCATTTTTTTGGCAAATATTGTAGTTGTTAATTTTCAGTTTAAAGATAGTTCCATAATTTTCTGATCAAATTTATTACCCATAAGTTAAATTTGTGTGTACTTGTGTTGTATGGCTAACTTAAATGATTTGGAGCTGTAAGGATGATTTAGAAATCCTTATATTAAAATAGTCACCAGTCTTTGGAATCTGATTCCATTTGTCTCTTTGTGTTTATCTTATGCTTCAAATGTTAAATCATCAATTTAAGAAACTCAACACGAGATCATGTCTGTCGATGTAATCTAGTTAAGTACATGATCTGGCAGTCAAGGTTTCTGTGGGTTGTTTATATTATATTTATAAGCATTATTATGTCCAATCTAGACATGTTCAATAATTGAATCATTCTAATAGTTAATTTATATGACAAAAGATGTACTGGATGTATAAGGGTACTCACTATAAGTCTGAGTATGCATCAAACGCACTGATGCACATAATGACGTAACTCCAGGGTTTTCCAGGTTCACAGAGAGTCTAAGGTGAGTTGGGCATTTAAGTTGACATTCTCTCTTTCATCTTTTCTATATCCTTTCTTTATTTTCTTCTTTGCTTTCTCGTCTTCTCTTATCATCTTCATTTTGCAGTCGACTGTCATATAATGTCTATATGTTATGTCACCCAAAACACCACTTTCCTGTAATTTGAATTTTGATGGTATAGATGTTCAGGTCAAGGACAATAGTTGATAGGATTTCAGTTTATTAGTAAAGGGGAAACTTTCTTACGAACATTTCTAGCTTAAAGCTCCGAATATCTGCAGGTTTTGAGCAGAAAATCAACCTTCTTTCCAACATTTCTGGCATAAAAACCTTAATCTCAGCATTTCTTTGTCTGCTCATTGAACTTCATGAATAACTTGCATATGGATTTTGTCAAAGGTTATTTATTCAATACGTAAACAAATGGTTTTCTCATATCTAAACTTATATAGCTGAGAAATATGATCCTTGTTTTTCCCCCTTTATGTAATAAGTTTTAATCAACACTTTCCACATCCTGTTTTATTTAGACTTTAGCCAACAAACATTCTGTGCAGATGGGCAGCAAGTTCTTGTACAATGGATTCTTTGTATGATATGGATCTCATTTCTGAAACTATACCAGTAATATTGGACAATTCAAAGACATGGTATCGAGTACTATCAACAAGTATGAAGTTAGGAAAGATGGGGATAGCACATGTGGAGGGTATCAGCAGAGTTGATCTGAAAGGCAGTAATGTCTTACTAATAAACCGCACTGCAAGTCCTCTCTCCTGGTAAACTATATTTTAAATTTAACTGTTTGTTGCATGCACTTTTTGAAATGGGCAAGTGATCTTATCTATTTAAAATGCTTTTATGGATGAAAGTGAACAATTTTGCTAGGTAACCGTCCAGGTTTATGGAGTGCAAGGATCGAAATAACCGCAGTTCAATTGCGCTGCCATATTCATTCCTCCCTTCAATGGCAGCCAAACAGCTAAGGGACGTAGCTGATAAGGTATAGACTCTCAACAAATTGTTCAAAGCACGTATACTCAATAGTATCTTTCAGCTTTTAAGCATTTTTTCCCCCGGAGTTGGTTCCCGCTGCATTTTTTGTATACTCTACTTTATCTGTTTTCTATAAGATTTTTGTTTGAGCTTCTTATCGTTTTAAATGTTTTGGGCATGTGAAATATGAGCAAAGCTTGAGTTATGCATAGAGATCAAGTAGGAATGTGCAAAGTAAGATCTTTTGTCTACACTACATACCTGTACACAAACAAAGGCATGGTATAAATTATTATTTTCTCCTAATAATTCTGGCTAGCTCATTATAGTTTCAATAAATTTTTAGCGTTACCACCTGCTAGTATGGAGTACTTTTTTGGTTAGTTGGAATCCCATTAATATCTTTGTGGAGCTTCTAGATAAATCATAAAGATTTGTTTATTTTCTGCACCTTCTAGAAAGGAATTTAGTTGGATAATCTAGAATGTTTGGAAAAATTCTAGCTAAGCAGTTCTAGATGAACAATTAAGAGTTACTTATCTATAAAAAGAGTACAACTTGCATTAATGAGGGGAATGTGAGATCCACTCTATTGAGACTACCATTATATGTAGTAGAGGATAAGAATTTCAAGTGATATTTTGGTCTCTGATTTACGGGCATTAAAACTATTTGAACAGATAAAGGCACTTCTTGGTGATTATGATGCTATTCATGTACGCCGTGGGGATAAGATAAAGATGAGGAAAGATAGACATGGTGTTGACAGGACTCTTCATCCCCATTTGGACAGAGATACAAGACCTGAGTTTATTCAACGGAGAATTGCAAAATGGATTCCATTTGGTCGAACTTTGTTCATTGCTTCAAATGAGAGATCACCGGATTTCTTTTCACCTCTTTCTGCAAGGTACATCTCTTTCTGAAGTGGCTTTAAAATTAGCAACTGTTCTTACTGAAATAAAAATAGATATCAGTTCCAAGAATGTTGCATTAGATGGTCCTTCAGAAAACATTTTGTTGCATTTTCAGGTGTTTGGTACTCATGAATCGTTGACTTGCTCAATAATTTTTGTTTACTTCAGAGAGAAAATTACATTGTGAGGCTAAATGTTCTTCATGAATATTTCTTCTGACACACTTAGAGAGGAAAAGCTAAGGTCTTAGAAATTGGTGTCCTCATAATGTTCCTTTTAAAAGACTTATCATTCATTGTTCTAACAGAAATGCTTTTTTAATTGAATTTAGCTAGAAATGATCCTCCTTAGCATCATATGTTGTGAGTTCTGACCTACAAGTTCCCAATAACCAATGTTTTTCTTCAGTAACCAGGACAAAATGCCCAAGAACTAATGAATTAGAGGAAATAGATGTAAAATATGCATAAAGAGAGTGAGGGAGAGCAGGGAGAAATACTATAGGAGGAACTAAGTAAAAAAGGTTGAGAAACAAAACAGACTAATCTAGATTCCTGAACAATTAAAGTTACATTTGTTTCTCTAATCATAACATTCTTCTTTTGTCCTTACACTTCGCTATGCAGAGTTTTTTACTGGATATTCGATGTGTGATTTATGATCTGTGTGAGTCCATTCTGTACTATTTTAAAGGCCTTTGTTAACTAGTGTTCCTACTGTACCAGTCTTATCATCAATATTTACATACCTGCCACCTAAAAACATGTGAATGACAAGGAAATGCTCTGTAATTGTCATTTATAGAATGTTTGTAACATTGGAACTGACAAAACTAATTAAATAACACTTCTTTTTCATATGCGGTGGGAAAAATATGCCTTCCAGAGAATAAAACAGGATATTATATGTTAGATGCTATTTTTTAAAATTGGAGTATATCCCCAAGTGGTTTGATCCTCTCCAATACAAAAAAGTAGTGGAGGGACCGCTACTTTTACCATAACTAAACCTGGCAGGCTGGCATGCACCCTACCTCATCCATGAATTGCATACATACCTAATTTACACTTAGAGATAAATAATAACTAATCGCTAAACAAATCAATGGCTGTGATAAAAGTAGCGTCTTCTCCACTAGTTTGTGGTAGTGAAGGGGATCAAAATCCTATTTTCAAGTTCTATTTCATTATATGTTTTTATGGTCCTTTTTGGTAGATAGATTAGAGTTTATTTTTTGGTTCCAGGACTTAATGGGTATTGTTGGCTCACATACATATTAATTGGGGGATATTACGAAGTTCTATCTTAACATACATGTTTTATGGCTTTGTTTTTTTTTCCTTTTATTAAGTGCATTAGAGTTGTTTTTCCGGTTTCATGGGTTACTGGGTATTATTGTCTCACTTATATATTTTAAAATACCAATTCTATTCTAAATGTTGTATTTGGTATTGTCAAAAACTCAATAAGAGCATTAACCAAGAGAAGTAGTATAAACTAAAACAATCAATTAAAATAGAAGTAAAACATCAATATAATTAATTACACCGGTTTCAAGATAATTAAATGATTCTTAATTAATGTCCTAGGGTCGATGGTTAAAACTTAAAAGGACCCTAAATCCCTTAACCAGTAGAGCGATGTTGATTGTTTAGTGAACCAGTGCAGTTACTTTATGAGTGCAATTATTTACCAAACTTAGTGGAGGGGATACTACTATCACAACTATTGATTTGTTTAGTAAGTGGTTACGATTAGGGGGTGTCCAAACAGGTTGGGCCAGCCCAACCCGACCCGAAACTCCAGGTCCGGACCAGGTTCAAAGCCCTGCCTGGAGCTACTGGGCCAGCCTGGTTTTTTAAATTATTTTCTAAATTTTTTGGATTAAAAATTGTGTTTAAAAAAATCAATATAAATTAGATTTTTGTAAATTTTTAGATAATTTTTTTTTTCAATTGTTGTATTGCAAAAAAGATTTAACTTATAAGTATTATAAGTGTATACTTACATATAAGTATATAACTATATATTATATATACAAGTATCACATATTCACATATATGTATATGCTTATATATATACTATAAGTATATATATATATATAAGCATATACAAGTATACATTAAGTATATAATTATGAAGTATATACTTATAAGTTATAAATATATGTATTTATAACTGTATAATATAACTATTATAACTTAATAGTTATATTATACAGTTATAAATACATATATTTATAACTTATAAGTATATACTTCATAATTATATACTTTAATGTATACTTATATGTGTATAGTTATAAATATATATACTTATATACTTACACGGTATACATGTATATACTTAAAGTATACACTTATAAGTATATAAATTTATATAAATATTAAATACGTATTACATAGTTATATATGTATTTTTTATATACCTATATTATATTTATGTAAGTATACTTATATACTGATATGATATACGCATATATACTTAGATATACTATATATATAAATAAGTATATGCTTATATACAATATACTGATAAGTATATACAAGTTACAAGTATGTGTATACACTCCGCGCGTGCACAATAATAACAAAAACCACATCAAATATAACACAATATTAGTTTGGCTATTTGGTAGGCTTTAAATCTCCCATAGAGATGGTCATGGTTCGAACCTCAAAATCACCAATTTTAACTATATTTTTAATATAAATATGGATATATGCACATAGACCCCGCATCTCGGGACAGACACCAGCGAACCAATCTGGCCGAGCCCAGATTTTCGGGCCCAGTCAGGTTTGGGCCGGGGTTTTTTTCGACAACCCTAGTTATGATATGTCTTTTATATATAAATTAGGTTGAAGGGCAATTTATGTGTGGAGTATGGTTAGTGTTAGATTTTGATGTGTGGAGTATGGTTAGTGTTAGATTTTGAATAAATCACGACCACGGACAATCCACTAAACAAATCAACGGTAAAAAAATCATGGGTTATGGTAAAACTAGTGGTCTCTCCACTACCTTTTGGTCCACTACCTTTTGGTAGTGGAGAGGATCCAAGTTCTTTGTGGATAGCCCCCAATGTTTCTAAAAAAGCATCTGATTTGACAATATCCCATTTTATTCTCTAAAGGATATATTTGTCCATTGTTAACCAAAAAGTACTAATTAGCTTTTTTAGTTCCAATGTTACAATCGTTCCATAAATGTTAACTGTAATTTTACAAGCGTTTCATAATTGTATTTGCAAAGTGTCCCTGGATATTCACACATTTTAAGTGACACATGCATAAATATTAATGATAAACACCAAGGGCACTAGTTAATAAATGCCTTAATTTTATTTATAAATTACATTTTCCCGTTATTTTATTGTATTTATGTTGACCTGGAAAAAAAAAGTATAAGTGACATGGCTGCATAACCTTATTCATATCAAAGCTAACATATCTAAATTCAAAAAAATTGATGTTCATGGAGGGGACTGTTTTAATTTCAATAACCTTTCATATATAACTTCTCTAATATATTGTCAAAGACGGCCGTCATGATTATATCAGGAGATACTATGATATGGGTGTGAATGTGTCATAAATTTCCTTCTGAGGAAATAATGGCCTTTTTTCTTCATTCTTGTTACAGTTATAAGCTTGCATACTCATCAAACTACAGCAACATTCTAGACCCGGTTATCAAGAACAATTACCAACTTTTCATGGTAGAACGACTAATTCTGGCTGGTGCAACGACCTTCGTGAAGACGTTTAAGGAGGACGAAAATGACCTCAGCCTCACCGATGATCCTAAAAAGAACACGAAGAGATGGCAGGTTCCTGTTTATACCATGGAGGAAGAACAAAACTTAGCATAATTGATTTTCAGTGCAGTTGTTTGCATGTTAAGAGGCATGCTGAAGGTTTTTTTGAGGGTTGAAGGAATTCAACCGCACATTGTGTTGTAAATTATTAACTACGTGTGTTTATGGACATGGTAAGTGGATGGTGTGTATTTTTTTGGTGTCTAGAAGTAGAAACTTAAGGTGTGTAACATTTGAAAGGGGTTAGTTTTTATGATTCCGCCCCAAGTTATGAGTTTCCTATGTAAGAAATAGTTATTTTTACGAAAGTACTCAGATTGGTTATATTCAGTGACAAATTCTTTAGGGGGCGGACGATAATCATCTTTTATCGAAATAAAAATGGACTATTAGTTTCAAATGAGATTAATGAAATTGAGCTACTAAGTCTTAAGTGTTAAATGCCCCACTGTTGCGAAAATTCGAGGTGGGGTGCAAAATCTTTAAAACTATGGGGGCCGAATTATAAATGTGAAGGATTTCAAAATGCAAATTTTAGATTGCTAGAGGTGTAACTAGACCCCTAGCAACCATGTGGCTCTACGCGTGGTCATATTTGCAAAGATATTTTGGATAAATAACGGGAATGTTATTTTAGTTTGTTTTTCTTATTGTTTTACGCGGAGATGCGTTTATGTTCTTACGTGAAGAATGATTATGAAGATCGAATCATGTACATGAGGTAATAATATATAATTGTGTCTAACCTTTGGTACGATCAGCTACATGTATTTGTTTTGGTAGATTGTGGTTATGTTGCATCGTTGACATTCCAATTAGTAATGATGCACATGACCAATTAATTACAAAAGAAAACCAGAAGTCTCAGCAGAGTTGATCCTTGATAGCCATTGATCAAATTTTCTCTCTCTCTCTCTCACTTCCTCCGGCAACCAGCAACAACACCAGAACATCCCTCCGGCTTCATATCTATAGACGGTTATTATCTATCATGATATTATCTTGCTTTGCTCATTTATCGTGTTAAATTTTTAGTAGTTAATATAATGATGATGTTACTAATCAATGCTTTTCTATTGTTGAGAATTTTTAAGAGACTTAAAAGGTGAAGAAATAAGACAAATAACGGTCTTTTGATAAATATGTACGTTTTTTATTCTTTATAATTATAGTACTCTGCTAATATTATGCAATTGTTACACATCTATTTCATGCTTATGCATCAAATATGCATTTGTAGAATTCTTAGATTTTTGATAATTTTTCTTGTTTTTTATAATATTTAAATATATTTATATTTGACCGCTATTTGACTATGCGCTATTTGCCGCTATTTTGCCGCAATAGCCCCATATAACCTTAACGGTACCTCCCCGCGACGCGACGCTATCCGTTATCAGCAACCTTGATATTTGAGTGTCATCGCGATCTTCCTCTGTTATGCTCTTTAAGGAATTGTGGTGTCAGATCCATGCCCCATGTTTGGATCAAAAATGAATGACAAACGATGATATCATAGGCCAAGAACTAAACGTTCTCTAGCTTTTCTAATACATGCATTAACGACAGTAAATTGATGAAATTTGATTAGCCTTGAACCTAGCCGGGCTAGAATATAGAATCTCATCGCATCATACTGCTTTAAGTAACTAACTATATCCAGGGATGCAATATATATATGATGATTTTCTGTTGCTTGGAAGTTCTCTCTTTCAACGATCTTCCCCCCTTTGATCTTCATCATCTCAAGTGGATGACTACTGGTAAAAATCACACTTTAATTCTTTCCTTTAGCACTTCCAGTTGCTTTCAAATCTTGTTATTTGGTTGGTTATAAGAATATCATAGAATTGAACCCATGTGTTCTTCATTCTCATTCTTTAGAGGTACCGACCCTCTGTATTAAATAGGTTTAGCCACTTATTACCCTAAAATTTTTTTGTTAGCATTTGGCCTATTTTCACTTTGGTACCCAATTTTTGAATTTGATAGTTGAAGTACTTTGTATTCACTTTGACACCTCAAAGTTTCAATCCCATTTCACTTTGGTACCCGCGTCAAGATTTAGTTAGGTTTTATGTTAAATTTGTGTTTACCTGCTTAGCATGTGATAATCCCTTGTGTGTTGTTGGACGCATTAGCAATTGGGTAAAATGGGCCTAAATGTAATAAAAAATTATCAGAAAATCTAATGAAATCTTGGCTGGAATCGAAGGGAAATGGAATTGAAACTCTAGGGTAAAGGGTTTTTAAAAAAGAAACTCGCGGGTATAAAAGTCAACAAAATAGGTAAACTTTGGGCTACCAAAGTGAAAATAAGCCACATTATATGCCCATTTATGGGTACAAATAATAGGAAAATAGCTCCATTTGGTCAAATAGCAGGTGTAAATGCTAATAAAGAAGTTTAGGTAAGAACAAGATCGACATTAGCCTTAGAACTTGCAGATTCATAAGAACAAGATCGACATTAGCTTATAACTTGTGTAGCATAATCTCCATCAGAGTTTCAACATGACTGTATACTTCAACTGAATGCTCAATTGGGTTTATATGACATTTGGAGGATGTCACAGGGACGTACAACCAAACTACATAAAAAAAATTCCGTCTGTGGCAGTTTGGTGTTGATATTAGATGCTTGATATCTGTATAAGAAAATGCTTCAACACTGTATTTCTGTACAATGTATATACATATTTAAAGAGAAAGACATTCATTGTCTATGGACTTCGAACATTTCTTATATTGTGAATTTTGATATAGGGTACAAAGTGGTTTCTTTTTTCCCTCAACTGTAAACTGCGCATACACATAGGAATATTGCTGATAGTAATCTGATCTTCTAAAGTCAGCGATGATGCATAAAGACACGGCTCAACGATGATGATAAATTCACGTTACAAATTCTAGTAGAATACTGCAGGCTAATCACTTAAATATTCACAATGAAATACTACAAGAACGAAACTGAAACTATGTTGACATAGACACCATGGGCTCTAAACTGACACATTGACCCCTAAGCATGTTTGTACCGTTGCTAGTGAGTGTGTTTGTGTTTCTTTGATATTGTACAGGACACTTCCACATTTTCCCAAGGAAAATGATGTAGTTTTCTAAGAGGTCTAATGCGACTGCGCTTCGAGGAGGATGTTCGTTGCCAAATTGATGTCGTCTCCAGCATGGATGAGTGCTTGTCGTGCTGAATTTCTGTCGAAGCCCATGGATACCAATGTTGCCACAGAAGTTTCAGAGGCCAGTTCTGGCGCCGAAGCACGGGCAGCAGATTGATAGTTCCCCTGCAACAAAATCAAGTGTTGTTTAGAGACAGAAGTCAAATGCGGGAACCATTCGTTATAAGAAATTTTCTTAAATCAAGAAAATCCCGAGAGCTCTTTCAATGTTTCGTCCGAATCATGTCTAATACGATCATAGGTAAAGCTTCTGGTAATCTTATGGAAAAACTTTAGCGGAAATCCCTCATGCACTACTCAACCACATACATTATGTTTGGAAGTCATCAACTCGGGTCCCTAAAGTTACCTCGAGCGTCTAAGCAAGCCCTTTTTACAAATTTCTGTTAACTGTTGTTGATATATTAGTGACGTGGCGGGAAAACTTGTATTTTACTTTTTTATTTGCTGACTAGATGCACTGCACGTCACTGACACGTCAGCAAGATTAACAAAAAGTTTGTAAAAAGAATATAGGACTGATAATGGAGGTAACTTCAGGGACTTTTGCTGATGCCTTTGAAACATAAAGGACCCAGACCAAGAGATAAGGGACATCTAGTGAAGTTTTGCCTTATATTATCATGTCAGAGGGAGGGAGGATGAAGAACTTAGCAGTAATCATCACTCTTTTCTCAATAAAGACCCTTTTTAACTTTTCCTAATTAATGAATGCTTGAAGTTCAAGTAACCCCTATCACATTTAACAAGTAGAAACATCTTGATGTTAGAAATTTGATTATTGAGGGTTTGAAGTAAAATCCTATACATTTACCAAGTAGAAATGCTTTGACCAAAGTTATCAGCATTTATCTGGGGATAAAGTCGTCTGAGAGTTTTTGCTGAAACTCTTTCAATTGGGAGATACAGAACATTTAATTTAAAATTGAATTGAACATAAAACAGAGAGTATAGTTACCATATCTAAATTTTAATCTGCTTGTTGTCTTTCTTACTCTTTTTGTCCTATCAAATAAAAAAACTCAGGAGGTCATCGATTTTTATTTAATGATATTCCTATACCAAAATGATCAGGGTTAAATGGTCAAACTTCAAAGTTTATATATCTGCTCTACTCAACATAGCAAATGAAGCCAATAAGCATAAGTCTACATGTAAATAATGTGGAAAAACACTTACTTCCATCTGATGACTTGCATTAAGAGGCACATTTTCTGAGTTACTCCCACTTGATATATGAGATGAAGTTGCTGGCAGAGGCCAAGGTAACCTTGAGAAAGATGATGCGACAACATCCGGGAACTGTAAATTACCAAATTTCACATTGAAAGCAATTGGACTCATATTCTCAATAGTTGTATACTTGTTCAACAAAATGGAAGGGGATTGAAAAATGTACATAATAGTGCTTCAGAAATAGACCCTGATAAGGAAAACATGAACAACCGATGACAGGCATGTCAATCATAACATGTCGATTACATTGTGTTCTGACTAAAGATTACCAAAAAGTGGATCACTATTCATAAAGCAATGAATCCCGAATAAGACCCGTACATAATTACTCAAGTAACTGAACCAAAGCTAAGATTTCTTGAATATATACAAAGAGAAAATATTAAGCGAACTAGTTTAACTTGTTAAAGTTTACAAGCATGCATACTGCCTACAGCTGTACACATACATGCTTTCGATTTTAGTCTAACATTAACCAGAATTATATATTGTTATCGATCATATGTTTAATAGACAGACGAAAAACTTGACAAAATGAATCAATATTATGTGCACCTGGTCCAACATCTGGTATTTTCGACTAGTAAGATTTAGATATTTTGAGCATTGGCTTTAGCTTTTGCTTGTTACTAACATAATGATGCATGAACTGATGAACAAATATCAGCATACACACTTGAGCAGTAAGGTTCACTTCTCATTTCTTTTGTGCCATCAAATTGTGAATGGTTTAAAGACAAGGCTCTGTCAAAGAAAATTCATTTCAGAGGTTCATCAGTAAAAACCTTTATTTTTCGGATGTACAGTAGATTTAGGCGATATAAAGACCCAGCAAGTACTCCACAAATGCCCGGTATGAATGACCGCGTCCACGATGAGAAGAGAAGCTGAAGAGAGAGATCAAGTCAGTTGAAAGCCTTCTGAATAATTAAACCTTAAGAACAAATAAAAGAAAGTTGACCTGAAGACCCGCCAAATATACAAATGACTTGTCACTGAATTGTACACCACATATACGGAATCTTGATGAAACTGGAATGTCAAAATAGAAAGGTACAAAAGAAGCAAAAATCAGACCGTAAGGGCCAGATACCAACACATTTGAGGGATCTGCAGAAAGGATAAACAATATAAAGTTAGTAAGTTCGAAGGAGGAAAACAACCAAGCATTAGTTCATGGCCTACTGGTCAATTCATCCAGAAAACATGAAGCTCAAGAAATATTTAACACTGTAAGCATGCAAGAAGTAAGTGTGAATGCTAAGATAAGATAGGAATGCTAAGATAACATAGGAACTTTTTCCAAACTAGGATAAGAACCTTTTCCAAATTACTAATTTAAGAAACATCACATGGATGGATATAGAAATGAATAAACTGTAGGCATAACTGATGCTTCAAAAGAATAATTTCACAAAAAAGAAAAAAAGAAAAAAAAAGGTAGACACTCAAAGCTAAAACAAACAAGACACCCTTCATAGTTCCAATATAATCCCACTGATAAAATTCCCCTGGTATTATCAGCATTATGATTCAAATTATTTGATAAATTCTCCTGATGTAAACAACCGCTTCAACTTTCCTTAACTTCTCAGAAGAATCATACTTTCAGTCAAAAGACTTAAAACTGATTGCAAAATTTTATGAACCAATGCAAATACTTCACGGATTTATTTACTTCTCCATGGCCATCTTGATGCCATATCCATATTCTTGAAGAGAAAATTCTTGTTTCCTTTTTTTAACTATAATTTTGTACAAGTTTCTTCAATTTCTCCATTGTATCATGAATTCTTCCCTCTTCCCAACCAACCAGAAACTTCAATTTACGGTTTAAATATTATTAAATAAGATGAAGAATTGACCTATAAATAAAGGGAAAAAGCAGACATATTATCCTGAAGATATATTGATGCTACAAACAAAGGCTTCTTCAAGCTTGCTTTTCTTTTTAAAATGACATGCAATGAAAGCAGTTTCATGTACCTCTTAGATATGTCAGAGCTAGGATCTCAAATAGCGATGATAGGATCACAGAGAAAAACATAAACACCTGCATGTTTAAATAACAGAAATGAGTCGGATAAATCAGAATATGCAATTCTTCACCACTGTCCTCAGAGTATATCATGAAGAATGAAAGATGATTACTAACAACCAGAATATCTATAATAAGAATATTGATTTTTCTTTTTTACAGATATAGAATTCAGTGTCAAAATTTTAATATTGAACAACTACATACCGAATGTTTATTAGAGCCTATCTGTCTCTCAAACACCCTAAAGTAATAGAGCAAATATAGTCCAAACATTAGCTCCGGTGTCGATGAAAAGGCAAACAATGAACCAATGAATCTCCACAGCCGAAACGTGTGAAAAATATCCTGTCATAACAACATAGTTCACCATTAAATTCCCATATTTTGGTATGACACAAAATATCAATTATACTGTATGGTGAAGAGGTTGCATTTAATTTGCCATGTCAGCACATAAATCACGATTGTGCCAAACCTCTAAGGAAAATGGTGAAATGTTTCAACCACTAAGACACGCATCAGACTAGTAAAGGTGTTTTTACCACATTATAAATACTAGAAGGATACTGTTGGTGCTAATTACAGAAGTTGATAAACTACTTCACAAATTGAGGCAAGAAATTGGAAATCCAAAAGTACAACATCAGTGTGATCCATCATAGGAAGCACCATATGTCTATAGATTACCTTTTATACAGCTGTATCAGTAGTAAATTTACCTTACAGATCACCTGATGAATGTACTTTGTCAACATGAAACGGAGCTGTGGCAGCAAATTTTGCAACCAAATTTCTATTTATAATGTTTGGTAGATAAAGTGCTACTTGCGATGTAATAATTTAGTTTCCAATTTTTATAGAGAAAAGCTGCAATATCCGCTGCAGCCAGCCAAATAGGAAAATTTCGTGAAAAAAAATAAAAGTTCGAAAAATCAATATCATGATATCCTGTTGGTGTAGTCCAACCCACAAACTACAAATAATTTTACAACTGAAGCTCCAAAAACACTTGATTTGTTACTTAGAAGTGCATTTCCTACAACAAATTGCAAACATTCAACCGACATATTTCAGACTAATTTCCTACAACAAATGCGGCATGGAATATTTTCTACATGCAATATTTGCTACGTTCGCCCCAAGTTAATAGAAAAACTTCCCCTTTTACATCAATGCAAACGATCAAATGCCTAATTTACCCACATAATGGTCGAATTAATCCTGAAAACACCAACCCATCAAAATATCCAACAATACCCATTTCAGAACGCAATAAAAAAAAATCAAAATACCCAACAAAATCTGAAAAAAATGTAACGAAAAGATGATATTTTTAAATCAAGGAAACCTGATATGAGAGTCCCAGTTTCTTAGAGCGACCCTGAATCCCCAACAGGATCGTTAATATAGCGCTGGCGATCACGAAGGTTCTGGTGACTGGAGCATTATCTGAGATTAAATCAAAAAAAAGGGGGAAATGATTGAAACAAAAAAAAAAAATTGCAACTTTTTTCTCCTGGGGATGATTTTTTTTGGGAGAACGCTTACGAAATCCAGAAGGTCCTCCGTTCATCTTGTTGCAAGATCAATAGATCGAAGAGATCTAATGGAATCCACTGTCTGTATCTGGGAGCTCACCGGAGAAAGGAAAGTACATGGATAAAATAATCTATATATATAAGGGGAAAGAAAAGAGGAGTAAATATAAAATGTTAGTTGGGAGTTTAGAAGTAAACATTAAAATTTAGCTGTTGATTTATGATAATAAGAAGCAAAATCGTCTCCAAATATATTTTTTTTAAAAATTTATGATTAATTTCCCTCCCTCCTTTACTGCTCGATTTTCAGGGAACAAAATGGTAGTAAATGGGGTGTTTGGTTCAATAGTGGGCAAGAATAGGATTAGGAATCCCATATTTTTTATGGATTTTCGGGGAACAAAAATCTTTTTTTTTTCATTTCTATGTTTGTTTCATAACATGAAAAAATAGAATCAAACTTTATAAAAAACCCTCCAATTCATATTCTTTAGTTGGTTTGAAATGAGAATATGATTTGGTCTCATAATAATATAGGTTTTGTGAAGAAACGGAATCCGAAAAAAAGAGAGAGGGAGAATAGTACAAATGCGTCAGCTTTCTGCCACAAATTCGTCCAAATCATTAGGATTTGGGTTTCTATAAAATCAACATACATTTTCAACTTTATAGATTCCGAAAAATATAAATTTTTGGGGAACTAAACTCGAGAATGTGATTCATAAAGAATCATTTATTTATAATTTTGCCATTATCAGACCCAAATCCTATTCCTCTTCCATAAAAACGGTGAAACAAACAACCCAAAAAGTAATGGTAATTCCACCTCCGGTGCCACTCGTTACCCCCCCTCTAAAAAAAACTCCGAAATAGAGTTAAAAGCGGTCACTTCTCCTCCCCTAACTCCTTTAATCCTCTTCCAAACATGCAATTAGTTTTACTTCTCATTTGATTTTATAATAATACAATTTATAATAATCGTAAGAAACTCCGCTAACAAACCAACTCAAATCAACACAACCTAACAAACTCCTAATGATAAAATCACAACCGCTAACAATCTCCTAATAATTAATGACTCCAACAAACACGTGCGTCAGGATTATTTCCCAACATTTATGGCCTCCGGCTTCTTTAGGGACCTGAAGCTTTCATCGTCCAAAGCCATGAAGCTCTCCGCGTAGGAGCTGACCCCGAAGATTTGCGCTCTCCCGGCCGCTACTGAAGATCGTCGCTTCAACTCGCTCTTCCGCTAGGTTGTAGACCTGCAGCTTGCCGTCGGACTCTCCAGCAGCGCTCCCCGTCCTTCTCCACGTCGACGACGTGGAACCAATCATGAGGATAGCAGAAGTGATCCGATGCCTGTACGCGCTTCACCCACGACGCGCAGCTGCTGTCACGGCCCTCAGACAGCAGCCACAGATGACGACCTCGATCCCCCCCAGCGCCCCAATGCACCAGCCGATCCGCGCCATCCGCGTTCAGGCGAAGGGCCCACGTCCCGTCGACAGAATCCCGTGAGATTACGCCGGCAGCGGCAGCTTCGACCATTCCTCCTTCTTGAGATCGAACGCGGGCTATTGGGTCGTCGTCGTCGTCGTCGGTGCAGATCACCAACATCCAGCTGCATGTAAAAATACCCGCGCAGGTAATGGACGGCTTCGCCGACGACGACGGCCGATGTGCTCGTCGTGAACCCAAAAGGGGGGGGCTCTCCTTCTTCCTCCATCTCCCCGACCCAAGTGTGAAGACCTCGATTCTGATTGGCCTGCGCCGGAACCTGGAGAAGAGCAGGAGCAGACGGAGCACCTTGTATTCCCCCGTAGAAGGAAGGTAAGCGAACGCCACCGCGTGGCCGTCGTGCAGCGTACTGCGGAACCCCGAGTATTTCTTGAGCAGAGCGATCTGCTCCCGGGTCGCAGGGTTTCGTATGTAGATGTCTTCGTCGCAGCTGGACATGCAGACGAGGTCGAGGCCGCAGGAGAAGCCGACGCCGTTGCAGTAGTAGCACGTGGTTTCACGGTCCGGTAGGGCTTTCCCTCCTCCTCCTCCTCCTCCTCGCTCTTTGTAGTAGTCTAGCGCGTGAAAGTGGTTTCGGCGGTACGTCCCATGGCCACCCTCTCTTTCGTAGGTCGCCACGAGGAGGAGGGGGTTCCGTTCGGATCGGCGGCGGTGGGACGACCTGAAGGAGGGGCTGGAGATGAGGGAGAGCCATGATTTGGACACCAGCTTGAGGCGCGAGAGGGTCTTCACGGGGAGGAGGAGGAGGATGTCGGAGATTACGTCGAGAGGGAGGAAGGACGAGTAGTGTTCGTTGTTGGTTTCAGAGGAGGCCATGCTAATAGATCGATGGGGCCGGTAGAGTATATATTATAAATAGAGAGAAGGGCGACCAGATGAGCCCTAGGAGGAGGAGGACTCCTAGTGCAAACAAAAGTCAAAAAAAAAAAAAAAAAAAAATCAGTTGTAGCTCTAGTCAGAATAGGAGAATATAACAGCATTCATCATCAAGCCGAAAATAATTCTGGAAAAGCAAATCTTATGAAAATTATATAGGATTCCCTAGAGATATAATTGATAAAAAAAATAATTGCATGTTTGGATCTTTTAATTAGTGAATTTCTTAAGGCATGATTCTGATGGGGGCTATTTGAAAGACCCATCATTTCTCAAGTTCTTCAAACCCTTCATCCTTTTTTTTTCTTACTGGCTTTGATGCTAGACATAATTTTTTTTCTTCTTCTGGAATTATAAAATTTTCTTGAAATTACAAATTGCAATTCTGAGTGATTAAAAATAAAGTAGTACTCTTTTTTTTTTCCTGAAAATTTAAAGTTTTCTAATAATTAGAAAATAAATGAAGAAGGCCCATAATTGGCTCCCCGATGCCTGGCCCGGTTATGACCGGACCATCCGGGTCCGGACCGGGCATGAATATTTACCCGGCCTGTTTGGACACCCTATTCGGCCCATTGACCCGTAGCCCTCATATATTTCAAAAATAAACTCTCATATTTAGTGTTGATATTGTTAATGATTAATTAAAAGTACCATCGATGATCAAAGTTAGGAGCCGGCTCTGATTATAGGAACGACGAGTGACAAATTGTTTTATAACATATTGTTGTTTTTCTTGATTTGTTATTATATATCTTGAGAACATTATCTATTGCATCGACTGTTAACACGTATTTTTTTTTTTCAGATTTCCTAGATTATTATTATATTATTATGCATCATCATCTTTACATCAGTCCTATAAAAGTTTATCAATTACCCTGTTAATATTTCACTTCACACTATCTTTTCTCCTCTTCTCTCTTTACCTCCAAGCAACTCTGATCAAGTCATCACTCTCAAATTATCACTCTCAAACTAGCTTTTCATTGGAAAAAAAAATGATGAACATAGAGTTTTACCATGTAAGAACATAAAAATCATTTTGGAGGTAACTAGTCTTCTTCTACAGGGTGGTATTAATTGCGAAGAGACCTCTCTAGTACCACACTACAATTGTGAATGGACCCCCGTAGTTCTATTTGTGCGAATACAACCGTTGTAGTATCACAAAGACGAGAAACATCGCAACTAAATTGGGGGTTTTGGGAGCGTTGGAAAAGTTTTGAAAGACGAGAAACATTGCAACTAAATTGGCTATTATATATACATCGAGTTGAGCTCGATTCTTGACCATTTACAAATAATCCCAGGTAAATTTTATTCCAGTATCTCGGTTGGCCACAATCTTCTCCATGTAGAGATCTCATACTTGTCGTGGAGTTTTCTGATTCCTCCGTAAAATCCATCAGATTCGTTTCCTTCTTCTCTGTGATCCTTCCGGCCGATGACCGTCCTTCTCCATCTTGAGCCGGGAGAGTATTGGTTGAACTCTAGTACTACGGTATCTGCAAAATGTTATAGCAAGGAAAAATAAGTTTTAAGAAATCTTTTAAGAGTTCTTCCATTTTATGTAATCCTCATTATTTGATTACTAAAAAGTATGCTCCTTTCATTACAAATAAGAGAAGTTTAGTATCTTTTTGGATGCTTAAAACAGAGAACAAACAAGCGATGAACACCGAAATCATGGGCAATTCAATGATGCAATAACGCATCTAGAGCCATCTCTGATGCGTATGACTGACATTACTACTTCAATTAGTCCACAAGTTCTAAATTATGAATGTAAATTATCCAAGCAAATTATTATTATTATTTTTTTCGCAATTTAAATGGAAATATCTAACTTTCTTACCGCTATTATAACAACGACAATGATGCTCATCTCCATCACAGGACTCCAAATGGCCTACAACCCCATACCACCATCCTGCAAAAAAAAAAAAAAAAAAAAAGACTGACATTACTACTTCAATTAGTCCACAAGTTCTAAATTATGAATGTAAATTATCCAAGCAAATTATTATTATTATTTTTTTCGCAATTTAAATGGAAATATCTAACTTTCTTACCGCTATTATAACAACGACAATGATGCTCATCTCCATCACAGGACTCCAAATGGCCTACAACCCCATACCACCATCCTGCAAAAAAAAAAAAAAAAAACATGAACACATGAATAATCACCCCCCTTTAACAATTCACGGGAACATGATGAACTTAAGGCTAAATTGCTTCGAATACGCACCATAAGGAAATTCTTTGTTTCGTCTCCATTGGATTTCGATGTGATCCCCTGGTCTCAAATCGTTTAAGCATTTGGATATATGAAGATCGTGTGCAGGAGAGCTCACGGGTGGAGCTCGTAGTCTTTCCCATTCAACTCCTTCCTCCATATTGGTACCCCTTTGTCCATGAGGTGGATACCTACATAGTATAAGAATTCTCCAATTTTAGCGTTCTTCCACTTACAATGCCTCGTCTTGTATTTAAGTAATCCGTTAGGACTTGTCAAATTGCTTATTTAATTTCAATTAATTAAATGAAGAGAGAAAAGAGCTATTGTGAACAGAAAACAGATAAGTTGATTAACAATAAGAAATAGCCAAAAAAAAAAAAGTAATTATAGTTTGAAAATGCTCTAATATGTCAAGCACAACATTTGATGTATGACCTGACTTTTATGATTAGAGATGATTTTAAGGAATTTACTGACGGGGGCTTTTTCGTCACTTGCTGTCTGATTAACTCATTGGCTGACGGTATTATCTAAATAATTTTTAATTCCAATTTTAATTAAAATGGAGAGGTCAAGAGTTATTTTAGTCAGAAGACAAAAGATAAGTTGATCACAAGAAAAGGGAAGAAAATATCATAAACTAGGCGTCAATCGTTACCTTGCTTTAAAGGTATCCGTGTGTGAATCATAACTAAGCTCTGCATCATAGCATGACAGCATAAACCCAACATGTCCATTCTGCTGAAAATCATAATAAAAAATAAAATAAAAACACCCATTAGCATTTTGTTCATCTTGATTGATGAAAGCAATCAAATACAAACAATATCTCAAAGAAAAAAAAAATCGCCAAAACTCGAATCAAAGTTCGAATACCTCTCGATTGTAGACCTGAGCAGGAAACCAAAATCTCCCGCTCTCAAGAGCAAGATACCAAGCCATAACACAATCACCACCACCATCATCATCAACATCAACACCATCATCATCATCATCATCGATCAACAAATGGCTCCCGCTCTCCTTCACAAACCAAGAACAAGGCCAAGCACGCAAGATAGTCTCCATCACCCAATTGCTCCTCTCAACCCCATTCTTCTTGCTCTCTCTCAACGAATCAAAGTAAAATTCCCATTCTCTCCTCGCCGACTCGCCTATAACTCTCCCCCATCTCTCTCTAAAATGCCTCTCCCAAAGATAATCACTCGTACACCTCTCTCTCAGTGACGTGCACACATTTGACACGCTCAATAACCCTTCGGGGTTTAGCTTCTCAAGGATCAAATCCAAGGCTAGTTCAGGCATATCCAGCAGATTCATTGCCTCCTCTTCGACGACGACGACGTCGGGTCTTGGTTCGTTTTTCTTGGTGATGATCATCTTGGATGAGGGTTGCAAGAATAGGGTAGTGGTCAGCTTGTGGGTTTTAAAGAAATGGATGAGGTGGGCTAAGGATTCCTGGAGGAGGAGGAGGGAGAGGAGCTTCATCTCAGAAACCCATGAAGGGAGCTGAAGGAGGAAGAGCTTGGTGAGGAGGAGGATGAAGGAGAGGAAGGACACAAGGAAGAAAAGCATTTGGGGGGGTGATTCTCTAATAGTGAAAGCTTGTGCTACGTAGAGATCAACAAGATGGCACCAGTAGAAAAATTGTGGCAATATTTTAGGAATCTAAGGGGATAGAGAGAGAGAAAGGATGTTACATTTGTGGGATGTTTTTGTGTAGCGTATAGCTCTATTTATTGTGATGAGGGGGTTGAGAGGTGGTTTAACTTATTACCACCAAACTTCCACCAACAAAGAGGGAGTCTGACAAAGTTGGGAAAGAAAAGAAAATGCTACAGTGGACTATCAATAGAATATAATACAAGGAGGAAAGAGAAGGTGATATACAATGAGCGCCTTACAAATCTTGACTTATAAATCACTGTCGTCTATCAACTCACTAGGTAGATGACTAAACTAATAGTGATAATACAAATCTTTCATGTCTCACCCTCTTCTTTCTGGTAAGATCAAATGTATCAATGCAGTTAATATCATTCAAATCATGATTATATCAATATAAGAATTATATCAATATATATTATTGATATCAAAATTCATAATATTTCACATATCATCTTTTTCCTTCTTCCTGTACAATTTTTTTACTCTTTTATTTTTTTTATTTTTTTGGCTGTTACCATTGATGTGAGGCGAGGAGGAAAGGTGGATGACTTCAGGTCAAAAGACGGAGGCTTGTGGTTCACTTGAATCCTCTCATTAAAGGATTCATAACCACAATTGTTTCATGCTTGATCAATTAATGTCGTCGGTTACGTACTCTAAATTAGGAGTACACGTGGACGTAGTGTAACTCCGCAAGTGCTATTTGTCAGTACTGTCTATCTTAAGCCATGATAAAGGAGGAGGGTTGTGTTATGTAGCCGACAGCCAGCGTAAAATATAGTCGGATTCACATGAAAAATGAATCCTATTATATACTCGATGGGGCGTCCCCACCGCGACGCGTTGCATCGATCTCACCCCGATGCAATGATAAGTAACCAAGGGTGGTTTGCTTGGGCATCCCCTGGAAGCGACACATTACATCGATGTCACCCCGGTGTAATGACAAGTAAGTAAGAGTGTTCTAAGAATCTACAATCCTCTAATAGGGTATCTAATAGTATTAGACATAGACTAGAATGGTCTAAGAGAGAAAATGGTTAGAGACTTTTACAAGAAAGTAGAATTAGATTAGCTACTTGGAATATATGTACACTTACCGAAAAGACAATAAAATTAGTGGATGTCATGATTAGAAGAAAGATAAATATAATTTGTTTACAAAAAACTAAATGGATAGGTGAAAAATCTAGAGAAACTGAAAAGACCAGATATAAACTTTGGTACACGGGAAAAGAGAAGAATATAAATGAGTGGGAGTTTTTGTAGATAATATAATAAAAAAGTGTTGTAGGTGCAAGAAGAGTTGAAGATAGAATAATTCTAATAAAGTTGTCTTAGGTATAGAGGCTATTAATATTATTAGTTGTTGATAATAGTGTTAGTAGTGGGTTTTTAGTCCCACATTGGTTGTGAGAACACACCTTACCCTCCTCTACTTGTATAAAAATATGTGCATACTCAATATTCAACTTAAAAAAAATTTACCCAAGACTCTCTCTCTCTCTCTCTCTCTCTCTTACTTTAACATGATATCAGAGCCAGTTATTATTTCCCTTCCGATAAAATTTTTTTAATGCTTCTGCGTTTTTTGTCAAATCTTGGCCTTGCTGCTTTGCAGCCGTTTAACGTCTTTTTTTTGCGTTCCTTTGCTAGATTTTTTATCCTTGTCGCTTTGCGGTCTCTTAACATGTTTCGTATTCTCATATTCAAGATCATTTCTCGATCTCAAATTTACAGCATCTTCATTTCAAAACCGTCTCTCGGTCTCAAATTGGCATCATCATTTTAAGCCGTCTCTCGGCCTCAAACAAATGACATTGCCATTTCACAGTTAGTAACGGCATCGCCGTTTCAATCCATCTCGACGTCTCAACGTCTCAACATCGATATTAATTCGTTGTTGGTCTCCGGCGTGAGCATCAGATCCGGCCAATCTTCGGGCCACCTTGGTCGCCGGTTGCTTCTTTTTTTTTCTCAGATTTGACAGTCATGTATAACCTTCGGATTCAAATTTAACCTTCGGGTTCTTACATTTTAACCTTCGAGTTTCTACATTAGCCTTCAGGTTCTCCTTTAAACATTCGGGTTTCATTCAAGGATTATTATCTTGAACTTTGAATTACTGCTATTATGTCCTCTTCACTAACACCTACTTCTCAGGCTCGGTCTAAGCTCTTTTGCACCTATTGCAAGAAGGAGAGACACCGCTTTGAGACATGTTTTCAGCTTCATCCTGAGTTACGTTTCTCAGGAACTAGCCGTAGTCAGCAATCCCCTCAGTCCTGATCCTATAGTGCACCAGGATTACCAATCAATATTATGCTATCTACCACTTCAGACCCTACCATTCAAGTTATTATAGAAATTACCCGTCAAATTGCGGCTCTTCAACATAACACCTCTCCATCTGTAGCAAAACTCTTTGATATTCGCCGGCAAATTAAGGCTCTTCAACCTATTGCAAATATTAGCCGTCAAATTGTGGTTCTTCACCATACCACCTCTCCATCTTCTGCACAACTCTTTGATATTTGCCATTAAATTGATGCTCATCACCATAGAGCCTCTACATTTACTGCACAACTCTCTAGTATGCATCTTGCTGGTTCTTCAGCCAACTCTTCGGTCTCTGGTATGAATGATCTCTGAATTTTTGACTCTGGTTGTTCCTTTCATATGACTCGTAATGCCTCCCTCTTATCTTTTGTCTTCACTTCCTCTTCTCTTCCCCCTATCTACATGGCTGCTAGACAACCTTTGTCTATCACTCAATAAGGTTCTTTCACCTCACAAACTAACCCATCTAATCGTCTAACTCTTGGCCTCGTCTATGTGGCTCCTCAGTTGTGTTTGAACTTAATTTCTGTTAGCTCCTTATGTATGGATGACCTACTTGTCTCATTTTCTTTTGATACTTATATTGTGCATGATCCACAGACGGGAAAGACTATTAGGGTCGGTCAGAGGAGACACAAACTGTATTTTCTAAAATATTTTCACCTTCCAGAGTCCATACGTCCACGTTCTCTTGTTGCTTCTGTAAGTCCAAAATCATCTACATTGCTTTCCACAGATTTGTGGCATAGACGATTTGGTCATGTGTCTCATAAAAGGCTGGAAAGTCTTATCCAGTCCGGAGTACTTAGTGTCGTATCCTCTCGTTCTCATATTGAGTCATGTACTAGTTGTAAATTAGCTAAATTCACTGCTCTACCATTTCCAACTAGTACATCTGTTTTCACTTCCTTATTTGATTTGGTCCATTCTGATATCTGGGGGCCAGCTCCTTTAACTTTTTCATCTGGCTACTTATATTATGTTAGTTTTATCGATGATTTCTCTCATTATACATGTGTCTACCTACTTAAAAATCACTCTGACGTACTTGCTGCTTATCAAGCATTCACTACGATGATCTTCACTCAATGGCAAGCTAGTATTAAAGTTTTTTGTTCTGACTATGCTAAAGAGTACCTATCATCTACCATGCACTCTATTATGTCCTCTCATGGGACTATCTTTCAACAGTCATGTCCCTACACTCATGAGCAAAATGGTGTTACTGAACGTAAACATCGTCATATTCTCGATACCACTCGATCCATGCTCATTTCTTACTCTGTTTCTCATCGTTTCTGGGCTGAGGCTATTCTCACTGCTACTCATGCCATTAATATCACTCCATCTAGCCCTCTTTCCGGTGCTACTCCTTATAGTTGTGTTTATACTCATGCTCCCCGTTATGATTTGGTCCGCGTTTTTGGTTATCGTTGTTTCGTTCTTCTGCCATCTCATGAACGTGATAAATTATCTTCCAGAGTTGTTCTCTATCTCTATTTAGGAATTAGTTTGGAACATCAAGGTTTTCGTTGTTATGATCCCGCATCTCGTTGAGTTCATATATCTCGACACGTTCAGTTCGAAGAGGATTCTTCATTTTATTCTGCTTCCGATGATTTCAATTTCCTCCACACTACTGATCGTGCTTCTCCGCCAGCTGCATCACCCACTTCCTTACCTCAGTTCTCCTTTCGAGATCTCCCTAAAATCTCTCCATCTCCTTCTGTTGACTCTCCCTCACCCGGGCATTCTCTTCCATAATCTGATCCCTATCTCGTAGACACAACACCCACTCCAAAAAATACTATTGACCTCCATGCACATGCTCCAGTATCTCCCCCGCCTGAGGTTCCTCTTGCTCTTTATCGAGGCAAACACCTACATGTCATGCCTGTACGGTATGATTCGGTTACTTCCTATTCATTTATCTTTCATAATTTTCTTGCTGCCATTTGTTTGATCGAAAATTTTGCAGTAAAAAAAATGAAGGAAAATTAATTTGTATTCATTTAATCTTAGTTACAATTGGATTTCCTGATTACAAAAGAGAGGAGAATTGATCTGGATTCTCCCCTTTGTTTAATTCTGGGTTCTTCACGGTGGCGATGAGATGCCTCCCTTTATTGCTCGCGTCGAGTTTGCTTCTCGTTGACGATACGACTCTTGTTTCACTGGAACATGATCTTCTCCTCACGATTTGACGTTGTGGAGAACTTGCGTGGCAAGTTTTAGAACTCTTGATGAGTTGATTGATCTTAACCGTAATTGGTTAGACAAGCCGAAGATCTCTTCTTTGCTGCCAAGGAGAAGGATCCAAAAGCCAGCCCCAAAGATTCCGCCCCGAACTAAGCTGATTTCTTAGTTATTTATAGGGGATTAAGGGGTGTAATCGCCCTCTTAATTCGCTCCTAAGTGGGGCTAATGGGATATAACCGCCCCCTTAAATCACTCCTGAGTGGAGTTGTGATCCCCTCAGATCGTGGGAAACGGTTGTGAAACCATTCAGCTCGTGTTTGAACGAGTCAAACACAAATCCTGCATTCTGGAATGAAATCTGCGTTTGAACGCAGTGTTTGCGAGCTGCGTTGGGCAGCAGATGGAACCTGCGTTGGCAGCTATTAAAAGCTGCATTGGCAGTAGTTAGATGCTGCGTTTGCGGCCGAACATGAGCTGCGTTGGCAGCGATTTGGAAGCTGTGTTGGCAGCGTTGGAAGCTACGTCTGAGCTGCGTCTGAGCTGCGTTTGTACCAA